TCCGTGTCCAAATTTAAATTTTCAATGTTTTCCATCAATTTATCGAATTGCATTTGAGGTGGTGGTGGAATGCGTATCGGTTTGGTTTCTCCAATCGCAGTGGCGGGGGCAAACGTCGATTCCAAGAGTCCTCGATCTTCCATCACCCTCACGAGACTGTTGCCTTTGCGTTTGCGTTCAGACACATGACCTTTGGTTCTCTTGGTCTTAATATTGTTCTTGATTCGTTGTCTCCTGTTGGAAATTCGCGAGCGAGAATTCAAACTTCCTTCCGACATTGATTCGGAAGAGGAGAATACGTCATCAGAGAGCATTAGAGGTGAAGAATTGTCATGTGGTGGCGACGAGTCATCATCAAACAGCAGTGCCTTGGGATTCTCCTTGAGTGGCGTGAATATGTCTACGAAAAATGTTATTCCGGGCGAAGATTTTGACGGCGATCTTTTGGGGTAAGGGTTTTTCCTGACCCTATGGCGTTTTTCACCAGAAATCTTTATGGAACCTTTAGCACCAATATTTGACTGGGATTGTGTTTGAATAGGCGTAGGAAGGGTCACACGATCATTGTTATCATTGTTGGGAGATGCGGTAAGTACATCTGCCGAGATTGATGTAGTAGGTGGAATGCTGTTTATATCCTTTGTATTACCCGCCAAGTCGGAGCTTATGGACGAATTTCCCGCCGCAATTATGGCAGAGAAAGAGGTCTTTCCATTCTTCTGCGCCTCTGAGGTCTTGATGATTTCCAGGAGTTCGGCGGGGATGTCGCAGAATTTGAATCGATATCTGTTCGGACGCTTTGAATTACGTTCACCAAAATCGACTTTGGGTGTTGGTGTCGTTGGGCAATCTTGTACCGAAATTTTTGACCCCTCGTGAGATGAATTCGAGTCGTTCGTACCGTCGAGATAAGTTGGGCTTTCCATTGCACAATTATTGGGAGGGGAAAGAGGGGGAGAAATGGGTTCGGTACCAAGTCCAGTGGGAATTGGTATGTATTGTGAAGACATTCTGTTCTCTGACGAAATTTGTTGACCGGTTGTTTTTATTTTCGCAAAAGATGAGAAAAATATAGACCTTGGGAAGGAAATAAAGTAGACCAAGAAATAAATGAAGTGAAGTTGATAAAAGGGATTTCAGTGTTTATATGGGGTTCGGAAAGGGTTATTGGATTCTCCGTTTTTAATCCTAATTCGGAGTTCACGATAATTAAGTTTCCAAAAGCGAGCGAGAATGAAAATATTTATTTGTTGTCAAAAA